TATAAATTGTGAAATGATTACTACAATAAAGTTAGTTCTAACACATCTATCACCTCATATAATTACAGTTTTTTCCTTTGTGGTGAGAACATTTAAGTTCTACTTTCTTAGCAATTTTTAAGTATAAGATACAGTATTGTTAACTATTGTCACCATGCTATATATTTGATCCCCAGGACTTATTTATCTTTTAACTAGAAGTTTCTATCTTTTGGCCAACATCTCCCCATTTTATCTATCCCCCAGACCCTGGCAACCCCCTTTCTACTCTCTATTTCTATAGTTTGGCTCTTTCATACATGATTGTTCTAGAAACTTTTATCAGTCTTGCTTTAAAGCAGCACATTAACTAAAATTCCATGTTCTATTAATTTCAGTCTCTAGTGGCCAGTGAAGCAGTCCACGCTATTGAGAATACTAATAAAAACACCAGATATACACATGGCAGTGGTTCAGAAAGTTTATGTAAGTATTTCTTCTTAAGATCATGGAGAACTGTGAGGTACTAAAGACATCTGTGTTTGGGTTTCCTGTATTTTTAATTTTTCTAATGGAATCTTTAAACAAGCTCACATGTAAAACAACTGGATTAGAACAATTAAAAATGGAAGAATGGCTGAGAAAGCAGTGAACAAAGCTACATTAATAAATGAATATACTAAAGATATGTCATCTAAAGATGAATATAAAAATGATATTTAAGAAATTATGTTCATTGCTATATGTAGGGAGTATATAATTGGCATTACTTTAGCTGAGTAAGGCAGAAAAGGTCGCAAAGGGTCAGAAGGATGTGTAAGATACCTTGGACCACCATGTAAATTTGTGCAGATCAGCATTAACAAGTATAGAAAACACCATTTACATTAGATGCCTTTTAGTGACAGCCTCTGCCCGAGAGTATAGCTCATAGCACACTATAGTTGAATGTCTTTGTTTTATCACACTGATGAGAGCTTATGTGTGGCAAACTCTAAACAAATACTTTAAATTAATTTCTGCTGAAAGATATTTATTGAGGGATTCCTTTGCATCCATAAGGGATGACAGACAATGATTTTGCTCTTTTGAAGCTGGAAGGGGATATGGGAGAAGAGGAGGAGAAAGTAAACATGTAACCAGGTGTCAGTAAACTATGGCCCACAGGCCAAATCCAGCCCACTTCTGATTTTTGTATAGCCTGTGAACTAAGAATGATTTTTCCATTTTTAATAGCTTTAAAAAATGGAGAATAAGACTTTGTAACACATGAAAATTACATGAAATTCAAATTTCAGTACCCTAAATAAAGTTTTATTTGAGCACAGCCACACCCATCCATTTATGCATTGCCTATCATAGCTATCATAACAGCAGAGTTGAATTGTGCTGACACAGACTGTGGACTCACAAAGTCTAACCTATTTACTATCTGGTCCTTTACAGAAAAATTTGTCAATCTCTGATGTAATCAATTAAATAGTAAAATATAGTATAACCCCACTATTATTGAAGAGAGGAAAATAGGCTTATGAGTTTGAGAATGACTGCAGGAGAGAAAGGCTATTTAGCTGAAGTGGCCTGGGGCATTCTCTCTGTAGTTTATATTTCTAGGAGAGCTATCTGGCAAGTGACTGCCAAACAAAGGTGTGGGGGAAAAATAGGGATGGAGAATGGCTTGCAAAAGATCCTTGAGACAATATATTGAAAGTCTCACAGTTTCCTTTAACAGATATGATATATAAGGGTATAAAAACACATTCATACTAATCACATTCATATTATGTTCAATAAATTGCTTGAACACCAGATGCCCTATTAGTAGAAAGTCTAGACTCTTTCTCTTCTCAACAGATTGGTCCACATAGTATCTCTGTTTCTTGGTGTCACTGGTCCAATGTTGCCTTTGCTGACTCAGATCCTCATTCTGTCACAGAGGAACCCCTCAAGTTCCTTTCACAATTCAGAGCTTTCTTGATTCCCATCCTCTTCTCCACTGTACTCAGGGCTTCAGGGCTGGAGACATTTACAGAGCAGCTTTCTGTTGTGAAGAAATCAGTCCATCTCCACACATTCATTCATTCACTATACATCTATGTGTATGTGTGAGTAAGCATAGAGAAATGGCTGAAATAAATGCCAAATATTGATAGTAGCTATCAGAAATATTTTCTTAATTAATGACTAACTACCTAATCTTCGCTGCTAATGGATATTTTTCCATATTATAAACAATTCTTCAGTAGTTGATACAAGTATAGATTTTAGAGGAAAAAATGATCACTTTGCATATTATATGATTGTCTACCTAAAAAAACAAACTAAAATATTAGTACAATAAAAGAGTTGAATAAGGTAGTTGGCTATGAATTTATTTACACAAATTTGTAGCTTTCTTATTTACCAAAAATAATCAGGTAGAAAGTAAAATGGAAAAAAGATTCTACTGCCCCCTTACATGTACATATGTCCACATGCACACATATATATATTTAGCTACATACATATATGTGGATTCATTGTAAATGCATATATGTGCTTGTGTACACATACAAATCAATATGGTTTACCTGAAAAACCTAGAAAAGCATACTGGTGAACATAAAAGAAGACAAATAAAAGGAGAAACCATGTTTTTTAGTGGGAAGACAATATTAAAAATATGTCAGTTATAAATTAATCTATATATTTAATGCAATACCAGTGAACACTTAAATGATTTTCAACTTCATTTGAAATAATAAACTTGGTAGAAGAGCTGTAAAATTCTGAAAAATAAGACTAATAAGAGAAAATTTGCCCCAACCAGGTATTAAAACACATTATGAATGTATAGCAATTAAGACTGTGGAACTGAGCCTGGAAGAAATGTATTTGTAGAATGGTATAGTGAGTATAGAAAGACACTCAAATATATAATATCGAGTATCTCATAAAGAAGACATTTCAAACCAGTTAAGAATGTTAATTATTCAACCAATAGGGTTAGAAAACCTGACAAGTTACTTAGAAAAACAAATTGGATTCCTACTATGCCTTTCTACGAAATAAATGACAGATAGATAAAATATTTTAACACGAAAACTCTGTCATAAACCAAGTTAAAAGCGAAATAATCAAATAAGGGGAAAAAAACCTCCATATATTATATAGGGCTAATAATGCTAATGCGGCTTTTATAAACAATTTATTAAATGAACCAAGTAGAAAACTGAGCAAAGACAATTGGTAAAAAATATAAAGATTCATAACAAATATACCAAATTAAATGTTCAACTCGTTGGTAATCAAAGAAACATAAAATAAAACAATTTGATATTATTTTTCACCTATAAAATTGCCGTAATACGTAATTCCCATAGATGGTGTGCGAGGGGGAAGTAAGCATATTCACACCTTGCTAGTGGAAACATAAATTGGTTCAATTCTTCTGAAGGCTATTTGGCAACATGTAGCCTAATTGTAAAAAGTACATACCCTTAGACTAGCAGATTTATCTCTAGAAAAGTGTGTTCTAATAAAGCAAAGAAACAACTATGTATAAAAAAATGATGTTTATTGTAAAGTTGTTTACATTAATTAGAAATTTTTTTTAAATGTAAAGGTCTCAAAAAATCATTTAAATTATACCATTTTGCAATAGAGTGATATGAGATCATTCAAAATGAAATGCAGATTCAAACTTATTAATACATAAAGCTGGCCACAACAGATTATGTTTAAAATGTTACAAAGCAGTATGTATAGGATGATTTTATTTATGCAGAAAAAAATTAATGAAAGTATATTAAAGCTTACACTGAAAAAAAGGCACTAAAATGTTAATGGTGATTATCACTCCTTGGTAGGGTTATGAGCAATTATTTTCTTCCTTAACCTGTTTTCCTTCAACCTCCGTTTTCCACCAGAAATTTAGATTACTTAATAATCAGAAAACAGCAGAATTATTTTCAGTTTTAGTGGAAAAAATCCCATTTTATTAGTTAACTTGAAACATCTGTATTTCAAAAGTAATTTCTTTTTTTCTTTTTATAGACCTAGCTCCTGGAGGTGCAGATGACTGGATCTATGACTTGGGTATCAAATATTCATTTACAATTGAACTTCGAGACACAGGAAAATATGGATTCTTGCTGCCAGAGCGTTACATCAAACCCACTTGCAGAGAAGCTCTTGCTGCTGTCTCTAAAATAGCTTGGCATGTCATCAGGAATGTTTAATGCCCTTGATTTTTTCACTCAGCTCCCACATTTTAATTTGCTGATTCCAGCAAGACCAAATCATTGCACCAATTCCTTTCTGTTTAACCAGTAGTTAAGATAAAAAGGTTTTCATAGTCCCTGCTTTTGTCAAAGAACAAAATAAATGCCACCTTTAAATTAGTTAGACAAGGGTACACCTTAAAAAAAAATTATAAGAGGTTAGGTACTGATTTTTTTTTCTTTGAGTCAAGACGTTTGACTAGTCACTGCAAGCAATTTTAATAACTACAGTAGTACCATGCAGATCTTTTGGACCCTAAACAACAAAAGGAATGGTCGTCAGAAGTACATCAAAGATTACTGTTTTAAATTTTCAATAAACTTCTGCTTTTAAAAGCGTAATTGTGCATTCCGTTTGCTCCACAGCCATAAGCTATGGCCCACAAAACAGAGGTATCAAAAACAGGACAAACACTACCTGTCGCTCCAGCACCATCGCTCAATAAACATTGAGAGAATGAATGAATGGCTCTGGTTATTTTTTATAACAAATGTGGCAGTTTGCGCAGTTACAACAGCCATTTCTTACAAGAAACTATGTAATGAAAGGAGGACACTCTTTCTCTAAAATTCACTGTTAATTGGAAATTTTGGCCCTCCCTGGCCCCGGATTTCCGCTCCAAGGACAGAAGGCACAGGTTTGAGGATTTCGACTGCACGCCACCGAGAGGAAGTTACGCCCGGGGGCGTGCCCCGAAGGGGCGGTGCCTGCGTGCCTACGACTAATCTGGCGGCCGGAAGCTGCCTCGGTCCACAGAGAAACAGGGCATACCCTTGACTTCCGGCGGCATTTTGAGTTGATCCTCATAGCGGCCTGGTAGTGTATTCGTTGCCTTTCCTTGCTCATCGATCTCTCCTGGGCCTTTTTCTTATTACATCCCAGTCTCGCTTGACCCTGGCGAAGCGGCGAGAGGTGTGGTTCCCGGGAGCCCTGCGCGCACCTCCTTCTCCTCGTCGGCTTCCCGGGGCCAGGCACGGGGACGGAGAGTTGCCTCCCCGGCCCCTTGGAGCGGTGGCGGCAGTGGCACCTCCATACTGCGTTTGCGAAGGGAGCTCGGGGAGGAGGAAGTAAGCTTGAATACTTTGAATCGGTGTGAGTGTTTGAGAAAAAGGCGTTGGCGGACCCGGGATGGGGAGGTTCCGAGTTGTCCTCCATCCTCGCTTGGGTCACGCCAGCATTTTGAGCTCGCCTTGAGCATCCCACCCTTAACTTAGCAGTAATTGATCTCTGTGCTAAGGCCTTGTTACTCGTCGTCGTTCTGATTCTTGCGAGTTTGTGTACGGGAACGGGTTTTGACAAGCTTCTTCCTGGTCACTACCATTTGTGAGCTTGGGAACTCTGAAACGCGGTATTCACATTTGCGTGCGATGAGAAGGTGCAGGAATGTGGTCTTAGATGTAGAGGCTCCCTCTTTACGCATTCCAGACCTGTTACGGAAATGTATCTTACTTTTTTTTGTATTTGGGCTTGTTTATTTCTCGGCAGTGATAAACTAACCACATAGGTCCTGGGAGTTGAGGACTGCTACTGTTTTACATTCCCTAGGTGCTTACTTTTGGCAACTGTGTCAGAGAAGGTGAAATGAAAGGAGAGGATCTTATATTTGTCATTATGTCTCTCTAAATAAGTTATAATTTATGTGGCTGAAAATTATTCAGAGGTGATATTACTTGAGTGATATTGGCAAGATCTTACTTGTGGAGTGGAGTGTCTAAGCTATCGGTTATACTGAGAGGTTTTCAGATAATTTGGACCACCTAGAGAAGTATGGGCTTTTGCGGTCTCTTCGGGTTTTAGGGTGTTTTGAAGAAATAATTTTTAAAGTTTGTAGAAGATCTTAACATATCAAGTTTTCAAAGTCCGCGATATTGTTCCAGTAAATCCAAGTGCTTATGCAGTACAGTCCTTGCGTATACGGTGTCAATTCACAGAGTCTGTCTAGTTCTGTAATGTTTGAAATTACTGTCTTTACTACCTAAACGATGGTATTTTGCAGAGCTTTGAGGATATAATCTGTAGATTTTCAATAAATTTCCAGTTTTATAATGAGATATCTAGATTATAACCTGACAGTTTAAGTAAGAAACTAAGAGTTTTGATGCAGGTATGGAACAATTTGTTTCTGTGAAAATAGTTGCACCATGAAACGTTTACTGACTGGGTGTATCTGGTAAAATCCAGTTTTATCTAACACTTTGCCTCTTACAGGCTTACTAATTATTGGTGACTCAAAATGAATATTGCATATTTTAATATATGAAAATCAACCTAAGTTTCATATCTAAATTAATATCCAAATCCATCAGGTGGGTGCAGTTTACTATACAGGTTATTAAAATTTTAGTGTTATTGGTCTTAATGTGTATTATTATATGCCTTGTCAGTTAAATAGAGAAAGCAAAATTGTTTAACCTAACATTTATTTGAAGAATTGGTTATGGGTGGGTGTTCATCTTCTCCACCTATCCTGTGCCCTCCTCTCCATTTCATATAGACTTGGAGCTATTTCAGCAGATTATTTAGTAACAGTTGAAAGGTTAACTGGTGTTGCTATATGAAGTGTCTTTTATTCTTTTTTAGAAGTTTTGTATGTTGCAGTTATGTTTATTTCACTTCATAGTAGCTGCCAGCATGGGATACTCTCTGTGCACAGTCTTCCTAACAGGTTATTTCTTCTGCAATGTTATGGTGTTGTCTTGCTCCTCATGCCTGTGTAGTCAGTTTAGTTCTGTCAGCTTTGTGTGGAATACTGTTTGGGATTGTTTTGGTCTGTCTGTATATACAAGAAATTTGCAAGATTGTTTTAGAAAGTTCTTTTAAAAAATTTCCTAGATTGTGCATCAAATCAACTTTTTTCCTCTTTCAAAAATATGAAGTATAAGTAATGAGACCTTATTTTTAATATAACCCTTTTAACTTGAGAACTTAAGTAGATTGGATTTTTTTTTTACTACCAGTTAATAAGTACATTTATATAATTTTAATTACTTAATTATTTGAGAAATTTCTAATCTTAGGCAGCTACTCATCCAGATTAAAGTGGTTTATGCTTTTATTAATGCTACCTGAAGATGAGACCTCAAAAAGATATAATTATGGATTGAAATGAGGATACTAGAGCTAATACATGTTTAATTGTCAAGATTTTAGTAATTAGTCTTCAGGAATAATTACTCAAAAAGAGGCCCCTGTGTGTTTCTTCCTTCTCAGCCATATTTATGGTATGAAACTTGGACTATATTGTGATACTTATAAGTTTTGTGGGGGAAGGGACAGTTCCTATTTATTAAGACCCTTATTTGTTGTGTTTTAATAGATAGATTCAATTTTGTGTCTCTTTTTTTTTTCAGTTGAAAAGATATATTAAAAACTTTTGGATTTACTTTGCAAATGGAGAGGAAAATGGGAAAATAATTCAGTAGGTTTTCACCAGTATTGCTCTGACTTTGATAATGCTGGTGTTTGGGAAATAAATGATTATGTAGGTGCAAGTATGATGGCAGCTTGAAATCAAAAGAATAATTTGAAAACAAAACTGAAGGGAAACCTTCAAAATCTCTGAGATAGGAAAGATTTTAATAGTTACATTTTTTATCTTATTTTATTGTTTAACTCAAATACTTTGAACCCCTTCTTATTGAAGCCTGTTCAGATTTTAAATGACCTCCCCCACCCCCAGTAAAATCTACATTTTATTCTGTGGTGGTATTAATCTTACTTTTTGGGCCCAATGTTTCACATTGAAAAATTTTAATTAAGCCACATTAGTTGGTAACATACTTTCAAATTAAATTAATAAATATATATGTTTGAATGCTATTTTGGTGTATTGTAGTTATGTGTATATATTTAGACAAATAGCATTTAAATATTGTATTTCATATTCTTTGTAAGCATAAAGCATTTTATTTATGCAATATGAATGTTGCAGTAATAATATTTAGATAATTTTTATGGTCAACTACCAATAGAAGTCCCTCTGTAGATGATCAGAAGAATTCCTCTTTCTTCCTTATGTTTTCTGTCAGGGATCTCCCAGGAACCTAGACCTAGTACTCAGGTTCAGTGCAATTTTAGGGTAAGGTTTGACATCATTGGACTCTGAGAAGAGAAAAGAATATATGTTTACTTCATTGCTGTTTTTCCCTAAGGTGGAGTACTTAACAATAGCTAGAGATAACATTCCTGGAATAATCACTATGTAGGTGAATCTAGATATAGTTATTCTTGATGTCACTCGTAAAAGCAACTTTGTCTCTGAGGGAAGTAACCTTTTTGGTGTAAGAATACAAGGAGGGGTGTAATATTGGATTGTTAGTCCTCACTTGTCTTTTCCTGTCTTTGCTGTAGCAGTCCAAACCCTTTGAAATCTTTGAAGCCTGTTTTAGTGATCTAGGATTGGAGAGAAGTTGTGAGACCGTAGTTTCAAGCAGTAGATCTGGGGAATAGCTGAGTGCTTATTATGCAAGCAATAGGTTACAGAGCCAGAAGAGAGACAATAGAGTTAATATCTGAAGCCCTAAGAAAAACAAGAAAGAAGATGATAGGTGATCAGTGTTTCAAGTATAATAATAAATAGCCTGTTGCCTCAATAGTGGAAAATCCTACCATTGATATTTTTGGAGAAGGGTGTTTTGGGAGTGGGGGCATGTTGGTGATAGGAGTTTTGGGGACATAACTATTTCCATTGTCAGTGGAGCGACAATGTAAGGTTAGGGTTTGTCGTCTTGAGGCAGTGTGGTGGGATGATATCCCTGTTTTCCAAGTTCTAGATAGCTATAATAGCTACTACAGAATTTTAGAACCTATTCGATTTTCAGTTTATTAATAAATGTTTAAAAAATGGAATTAGATTACTATGTACATTTATATATTAATATTTGTAGTAACATAATGAAACTTCAAACATTTGTGTTCTAAGTTTTCCTATATGTTTTATGATACACTTCTTACTGAATTCTTCTCAGATATAAATTGTAAAATGGTTTTCTCAGTTAATCAAAGCTGTATATTTTCTAGGTCTTTCTCCGCTCCACTTATCTTGGCTTTTAGTTCTATATCTTCAGTAAATCAAATGGACATAATGAAATCTTACCACTTTTCCTCTGTAAATTCACATCTGGGTTGAGAATGAGTTCAAGAAAAGTTAGATTATTTTATAATACCAACTCCAGTATGTAGGGCTGGCTGCATTGTTCCTTACTTGGAGAACAATTGACACATAAGTGATTTTATCTTGCATCAAATTCTTACTCATTTATCTGACACTGTACACTCATCTTAAAAAATTTGTAGTTACTTTAAATTCTTTGAGTCACTAAAAATAATTGCAAAAATGATAGTGTTATATTAAAGAATAAGAACAATATACTTTTTTCCAATTGCCAACTACCATATTGTATCATATTTTCCCCTAGTTTTATTATCTTTGTTTATTTATCAAACATTATCCTTATTCTTTGGATCCTTTTAAAAATGTGGCCTGAAAAGAAATATCTAATTGAACCAAACATTTATAATTTTTTAAGCTTTTATTTGGTACTATCATGATTTAATTTCCTTTAAAGTGCTATGTTTTTACTTTGAAATAACATTTAAAGCATTTGTGAACTCTGTGGAAACCAGTTAGTTATATACCAAATGGAACTTCTGCTTCTTGAGCTGCTATCATTCATTCTATTAACTTTTAACTACTAATAAAACTTCAGCTGACATTTAGATTGTATAAAGTGTACTATAGTTTAGTTCTTCTTTCTTTCTTTTAGGCAGTTCCTATCCACTTTCAATAGTAGTTACCCTGTAGGTTATTCTAGGGGTAGAATTTAATATTGTTTTCTAATGTGTATCATAGTTCTATTATCTTTTATTTTCATTTCCAGTTGAATCATCTGATAATATACTTGGATTAGTTCTCTATTTTAAAACTAGTTTGAAATGAGTTTTTTTGTAAAATATTTTTATAATTTGTCTTTCTTGTTATTAATAATGGGAAAATAGCCTGGTTGATTACTTGTAGCATCTTTGACTTTTATGTCAATGTAATATAGATTACAGGAAAATCCTGTTTTATTTTGAAAGAAATTCATTGTATCAACATTGAGGTTTTTGGGGTTTTTTTTCTATTATTGGAAAATAAATATCCTTGGTTACATTGTTCTTTGACTTCTGTAAGACAAAGAAAATATTTAAATAGTACTCATTTTTCTCCCAAGTTGATTTTTAGAACATAACTAATGTTGTCATTGAAACTGTAAAAATGTGTGCTTTCTACTCTCAGTAAAAATTCTCACCTGCTTTTATCTCCCATTTTCATTGACATAGCTTTCTTTTCCAGTTAATCAGTTGTTGGGGAATGGTAGCACAACTTTTCCATGAAAGATAGTTACTAAATGTTAATGTTTTTATGTAAAGGAATTTAGATACTAAACTAGTGTGTTTTCTGAGGTTGAATGTACTACGAAAATTTTATTGTGTGAGTAGAATCTTTCTTATTTGCTCTGCAGAAGAGGTAAAATTCTAGCCTACAGATTTCAGAGTTGTTAAAAATTTGCTAATAAGGTGTGTCTTAGGATGCTGCCATTCACCTGTTTACTTGTGAACTCTCCTATGCCTTTTTTCTCCTGAGGAAAATCTCCTGTAATTTTACAGTGTTATCTACAGCTTTATTAAAGTAATGGTCTCTTGAAACTGAAGAATTTTACAGTTTTGTCTCTCTTTTTTTTGGTTAAAGTAGTACAAAATGTCAAAAATTAGAAGGAAGGTCACAGTGGAAAATACCAAGACCATATCTGATAGCACATCCCGAAGACCCAGTGTGTTTGAGAGGCTTGGACCCAGCACTGGCAGTACAGCAGAGGTGAGTTGTCACTAGAACAGTCACAGGGGTTCTCTTACAATCCTGTTCTTGAAATACTTATTTGTGTCATAAAAGTGCACAACAGGCTGTTGTTTTATTGGAATGTTGGTTCAGTAAAATTTTTTAAGTGCGTTTCATAAAAAAGAGTGAAAAAGGTGATAGTATTTGTGGGTTTTTCATTTTCCTGATATTATTTGGGGAGTAATGTATCTCAGAAGAGCTGGAATTTTAATAGGTTTTGTTTTAATTTTGTCCCACTTAGCATCTTTTTACCACAAATAAATATGATATTTACATAGTAATATCTGTCTCTTAGACACAGTGCCGTAACTGGCTGAAGACTGGCAACTGCCTCTATGGAAACACATGTAGATTCGTACATGGCCCTTCACCCCGTGGTAAAGGTTATAGCAGCAATTATAGAAGGTAAATTGAGAACTTTGAATTGTTCATATACTACATGGCTATCGTAATTTAGTATAAAAATCTGAAATACAACCATGTATTTGGTCAGATTTTCTATTTTGGTAATTGACTTGTCAATAGTCGAAGGTCAACAAACTCTTTTTAGTTAATTTAATATTAATATATGCTTTCAAATTAACTTATTTGCTAAATATTTATGTGTTTTTAATCACAGATCTTTTTATAATAATATGTATGGCTTACAGCTCCCCCAATATGTCTTAAATTGGTTCTTAAGACAGCAGAGTTTTGCGGGTTTATTTTAGTAAGAAAATTTTCACCTCTTAAAATACTAAAATTTAAATAGGTTATAATTTTAGCTTTTTAAGATGTTTTAAATTCAAATCTTAATGACAAAAGATAATCTAATGTAAGCTCTGTAGTTGCCAAATCCCTTATCACAATGTATTGATATAAAAGAAAATAGGTACTTTAATGTGGGTAAATGTACTATTTAGAACATCATTTTGCCTCAGCTCAAGGCAAGCTAAAATAAACTTTCTTAATGAAGACTTCTTCTTTTGGTTCCTTCAGGATGATTTTGTTATAGTGCTTAAAGATGTAACATACTGTCACAAAAACAGTTTTAACTTGATTGGTAAACAAATAATTAATGTAGTCCTAAAACTGGATGTGCTTATTGCTTTGGCTATAGAAACAGTATAAAACTGAACATTGGCATTTGGAGATTTTTTTCTTAATCAGGTGAGTTTTTTTTGTGTGTGTATAGATTTTGAAGTTTAATAGAATTTAAAATTCAAACCCTTAACATTAGCTGAGTTTCTGTTCACTTAAACATTGTACATTTTAGTTTACTTGTGATGCTGATTACTGTTTTATTTGTATTTAGGTTGCCATATGTCCCTTCTGTTAATGTGAGGAAATTAGTCTTTATTATAATGTTTAATTACCTGTATAAACACACATCTGAGGAAAGTATTTCAATAATTTGTTTTGTTTATATTATTACTACACTTTTAATACATGCTTTAATTTATCTTTGACACTTATTACTGACTCGAAATTTTATACAAGAGGGTTTTGAGGAAAATGGTAAAAAAATTCACCTAAACTAGTATCATTAATAAAAGACGTTTGTTATAGTTTTGCTATTTTGTGCATGTTTTTCCATTTGATAACTTCTTTTGTACTTGAGTTTTTTTCCCCTTTTTCATAGGGAAGAAAAACAGTTCATAATGTGATTCAAAAATGGAAAGAAAAAGCAATGTATTTCAGCAGTGCTTATTTAGTCACTGAGCTTCACTGTATGTAGAGCACTCTGTTAGGTGCTGTTTAGGACAGAAACAAGTTCATAATAAACTGCTTTATTATATAAAGGAAACCGGGGCAAATAAGATTTATGTGCCCATCATAGTTATAATTTAAGTACTTGTTCTTAAGAAGTTACATTTTCAAGTTCAGTTTTAATTGTTAAAATATGTAGTATAGACCTATAAAATGTACATAAATATTGAGACTCTTAAAGTGGATCAAGTGAAATTATTTCTTCACTAACCGTGTGATTTGTATTAATGATTGATAAAGGAATTGATTTCATTGATGAGTTGTTACTTTACTTGAAATAGATGTGAATATTTATGTGATTTGTTTATATCTTTTGAAAAATATTTTATATAGAGTTTTTCGTAGCCAAAGAGGGTCATATCATTCCTTAACTTTATTGCCCTTTTATAAAAGTGTGCTAGGAATATTCTTCAAAAGCAATGTGTTTTCCATTTGTGCTTTGTTTTCTCACATAGTAATGGTGTGAAAGTCATTGAAAAGTCATTTATCAAATTTCCAGTATAAATTATGAAGCTTTACCATAGTTGAATTATAAATATGTATGTTTTCCTTTTTAATTAAAAAAAAATCCACAGTGGAATATAAAATCACTGTCTAAAGTCTTGCTTTGAATCCTTTAACTATTTTTTTATTCTGAAATAACTTTAAATATAAGAGAATTATATAAATAACACAAACACTCCTATATTTGCTGTGATTCTTATGATGCATAATTCTCAGTTGTTATCCCATGACATACATGTGTAGATGATAATACTGTTGCTTCTAGATTAATTATGTGATTAATAGGAAAACATATTAAGCTGTTAATTTCAAACCCCTTTCTCTCAGCTCACATAGTTTCTTATTCATACCACCGGTACCTGCCACCCCATGGAATTGTAATGTGTATGTTTTGAATGGTAATGGGAGATAAACTTATAAATGATGCTCATTTTTTAATATATTAATATTTAAGTTGAAGCAAATTATTTTTCTGAGGTTTATGAGCCATGAACAGTTAGAAAAATTATATTGAGATTTGTGATACTATTTCTCTAAATATATTCTTTAAAAATGTTACATAAATACAGATTTTTGTTGTTTTGTTTTTCTGTTTTGCTTTTATTTTTTGGCTCTAAGGTCACCAGAAAGACCTACAGGGGATCTTAGAGAAAGAATGAAGAACAAGCGTCAAGATGTGGACACTGAGTCCCAGAAACGAAATACAGAGGAGTCATCCTCACCTGTTAGGGTAGGAATTAATTTCCTGAAGCAGAGTTAAATTTTGGTAGTGATTTATTATTTATGTTCCATTTTAAATACTGTGTGCTAAATATTTGGTAAATGTGTTATTATGTTATCACCACACTATAATGTTCTATATGGATAGTGTAATTTAGAGGAAAAAAGTCCTTTAGAAAAACTCGTAATTCTCTGATTGTTTTTAGTTGTTGGTGTAATTGAGATGAAGGGCATTGATTGGCAGAGCTCAAGTACTTTTGTGAGCATCCTCAATATCTAAATATTAAGTATTTACAATTTCAGCCAGCTATTGTATCCTTCCTGCTCCTAAGAAAGATTTAAATTTCTCAAAGTAGAAAACTTACAAATTAAAACAATGAAAGCAAGGCATGCTGTTGACAAAAACTGAACTAAAAAACTTAGGTTAAGGAAAGTACATTTGACCATAAAATTTAGTGGTGAATTCCCTGGCAATGAAGCCAAAAGAGAAACACAATTTATGAGGTAGTTTATTGAGTAAAAGAAAACACCAGTATTTTCAGGAATAAAAATCTTTTCCAGAGGGTTTTTTTCTTCCATGAAATTTATCATATCCTTATGTGCTGGTAACATTTATAAAATAAATTCACATACCATATAATTCATCCATTCAGTATACTTCAGTGGTTTTTTGTGTATTTAGTCATGCAACCATCACCACAGTCAATTTTAGAACATTTTCATCACCCAGAAAGAAAGTCCTTACCCTTTAGTGGTCACCCTTCTGTCCCTCTTGACCTGTCCCCCAGCCTTAGGCAACCACTGTTCCACTGCTATCACTATAGATTTGCTTATTCTGGATCTCTCATATAAGTGGAGTCATGCAATATGTTTTTTTTTTCTGACTAGCTTCTTTCACTTAGCATTGTGTTTTCAAGGTTCATAGAAGACTATAGGATATATCAATATTATTTTCTTTTGCAGAATAATATATTCCATTGTATTAATATATCATGTTTTGTTTATTCATCAGTTGCTAAATACCTAGGGTGTTTATACTTGTTGGCTCTTATGAATAATGCTGCTAAGAACATTCACATACAAGTGTTTGTGCATACGTTTTCATTTTTGGGGGTTTATATCTGGAAGTGGAATTGCTGAGCCATATAGTAATTCCATGATTAACTTTTTGAGGGACTGCTAGAATGTTTTCCAAAGCAGTTGCATCATTTTATATTCTTGCCAGCAGTGTATGAGGTTTCCAGTTTTCCACATTCTTTTTGGACATTTTTATTACCTTTTGGTTATAGTCATCCTAGTAGGTGTGAAGTGGTTATCTCCTTGTAGTTTTGATCTGCACTTGCCTGATGGCTAATGATATTGAACATCTTCTAGTGTACTTATTGGCCATTTGTATATCATCTTTGGAGAACTGTGTATCAGATCCTATACCTATTTTTTAATTAGGTTGTCTTTTTGTTGATTTGTAAGAATTCTCAATATGTTTTAAATACAAGTTTCTTATCATGTATGTGATCTGCAAAAATTTTCTCCCTTCTGTGGGTGGTCTTCATCTTCTTGATGTTATCCTTTAAAGAACAAATGTTTCTAATTTGATGAAATCCACTTCATATGTTTGTTGTTGCTTGTGCTTTAGGTGTTTTAAGAAACCATTGTCTAATCAAGAGCACAAAGATTCATGACTCAGTTTTCTTTGAAGAATCTTGAAACTTTAGTTCATACATTTAAGTCTTTGATCCATTTTGAGTTAATTTTTATTTATGTTGTAAGGTAAGGTTCCAGCCTCATTCTTTTGCATGTGGATATCTAGTTGTCTCATATCGTAGTTTTTTTATGAAAGTTGCTGAATTGTTAATAAGCAGCAACCTCTTTGATAATTTAAGATACATAGAAGCTTTCTTTTGACTATTTTTGATCCTTGATAAAAAGCTATGTCACAGTTGTACATTATAGTGTGTAAAGATTATCTCTAGGGATGTAAAGTAATGCAGTTTTCAGTATATAGCTTTCTAATGTCTGATGTGATATGTAATTCCATTTTAGAAATCTCAAATATTTCTCAGTGTGGAGGTATATATCAAAATTCTTTTTGGGGAAAGGTGGTCTTTTTCAAAGTATACCTGCTGCTATTCTGCTGCTGATCTACTGAGTTAGAATTTGCAGGTAGGGACTGAGCCTGTGTTTTGCATTTTGAGATAATTTGTTGATTCAGAATAATGAATGGAATCCTTGTTTGCTGTTAAAAAAAAAAAACACCCAGAAAACAAAAGAAAGCCATGCTTTGTAGGATTTATCAGTTTCCTTGGTGCAGATACTCCCATCATGGTCAGTTTCAAGCTAGCAAAGTGCTATCATTGAATACAGTTGGAAAGACAGTCATTTGCACACCATAATATAGTATTCACATTCACACACCCCCTACTCATACACACATACATACAAGAAATGTAATTAATCTCAAGAGCAAAATGTACTAAAATATTTAGGAAGTGAGTTTTGAATGATTATTTCCTTTTTTATGATTTATATTATTTTGTTGAATTATTTATGTAATTTAATTTTAATTATAGCTCTGTTTAATAATGGCTTGTACAGTTCCTAAAAAATTAACATTTGGCTCTTGTGAGTCAGTGTGAACTAGCTCTAGCACACCACTAGACAGACTGTAGTTAATGTAAAGAACAAACATCCGGAATTCATATTCTGAACACGTGACCTTAGGAATTGTTATTTAACTCTACTGTCAGTTTCCTCATCTGTAAAATGGAGTTGATAGCCTGTATCAGTGTGTACTTGTAAAGAAAATATATGTAAAACAAGACTGACTATTCCGTGATGACTGCTTACTAAATGATGCTTACTGGTATTAGAATACCTCTTAACCTTTTTTCTATCAGTTGTTTTTAGGATCTTAATAGGAGGTGGACATTAGCATTGGAGATTTAGGTTAATATATACCTAAGTGGAAATGTGTTGTTGATCATGAAGGTTTATATTGTTCAGCATATCAATGTAGTACCGCAATGTTGGCATTTTTTAAGAAACTTAAAGCCTATTCTTGTTTTCCTTAGATGAGAAAGCCTTCAAAGGCCTGAGCTTCATGCATAATAAAGGATATAGTGGCAAGATTCAAGAGTGATCAAGTTTTGGGGAATTTACTATCCAAACTTAGAGAAAACTGTTAATAAACTATTATTATTTTGGGTGGTATTATCTGGCAGGATGACAGATGTCCATCATTTCTATAATACATTCCTACTTCAACACATGTGACTGTTAATCTTCACATAATTAATTTCTCTAGGAAAAATCAGATTTAGTTTTGGTAGGGGATAGCATAGTAAAGCTAAGATCGAATGTGTGTGATTTTCTGCAGATTTACTAATCCCACCCTTTCTCTGTATCTGAACTCAACTACAGTGTGTCTGAATTATTGAGTTGATAACCCATGATCTTGCGGGGAGACAAATGCATAAATAATGACATACCTTGGAGGTATTTTGGGTTCTAGACCATCACAATGAAGTGAATCAAAAGAATTTTTTGGTTTCTCAGTACATAAAAAAAGGTATATTTATACTCTAGTCTGTTATGTGTATAATAAATAGCATTATGTCTAAAAAAGCAATGTACATGCTTTAATTAAAAATTGATTGTAAAAATACTGACTTTGATTTGAACTTTCCACAAGTCATTATCTTTTTGATGAATGGAAATGGTTTTGCCACAGTGTTGATAGCTGCTGATTGAGTGGGATAGTGGTTGCTGATGGTTTGGATGGTTGTGGCAATTTCTTAAATAAGACAGTGAAGTTTGTGACATTGACTGACTTCCTTTCACAAACGAGTTTTCTGTAGCAATGTTGTTTGATAGCATTTTACTCACAGAGAACTTCTTTCAGATTTGGAGTCAATTCTCTCAAACTCACTGCTTTATCAACTAAGTTTATTTATTCTATATCCTTGTTGTCATTTCAGCAGTCTTCACTGGGAGTAAATTACATATCAAGAAACCACTCTGTTGGCTCATGCATGAGGAGCAACTCCTCATCCACTCAAGTTCTGTCTTGAGATTGTAGCAATTTAGTCACATCTTCAGGCTCCACTTCTAGTTCTAGTTCTCTTGCAGTTGCCACCACAACTGCAGTTACTTTCCCCACTGAAAGACTTGAACCCCTCAAAGTCATCTACGAGGGTTGGAGTCAGCTTCTTCCAAACTCCTGTTCATGTGATTTTGACCTTTTCCTATGAGTCATAAATTTTCTTGATGGCGTCTAGAATGGTGAATCCTTTCCAGAAGGTTTTCAATTTACTTTGTCCAGATCTATCAGAGGAATCACAATCTATGGCAGCTAAAGCCTTTAAATCTGTACTTTAGTAATAAGACTTGAAAGTCAAAATTATTTAGTGGTCCATAGGCTGCAGAATGTGTGTTGTGTTAGCAGGCATGAAAACAACATTCATCTCATGCATCTCCGTCAGAGTCTTGGATGACCAAGTGCTTTGTCAGTGAACAGTAATATTTTGAAAGAAATCTTTTTCTGAGTAGTAGAACCTCAACAGTAGGTCTTATAATTTTCAGTAAAGCAAAAACAAGTGTGCTATCATCCAGGCTTTAGCCTAATTCTTAAGGTCCCTAGGATTATCGAAATGATAAATGAGATGGGCTTCAACTTAAAATTCCCAGCTACATTAGCCCCTAAGCAGAGAATCAGTCTGTCCTTTGAAGTTTTGAAGCTAGGCATTGACATCTCTCTAGATAAAAAAGTCTTAGATGGCATCTTCTTCCAACAGAAGTCTGTTTCATCTACATTGAAAATCTGTTTATTGTGGCCACCTTTATTAACGATCTTAGCTAGAACTTCTGGATAACATGCTGCAGCGTCCACATCAGCACTTGCTGACTCACCTTGCACTTTGTTGTTATAGCAATGGCTTCTTCTCTTAAACCTCATAAACCAGCCTCTGCTAGCTTCCAACTTCTGTAGCTTCCTCACCTCTCTCAACCTTC